TGGAGCCAACAAACTTCCGGAACTGCACCACCAGGGCTGGCCCCCTTTCCCAGTCTCAGCTGGTGAAATTTCACCTGATTACCAGATCAGACACAACCTCCTATTGTGGTGCAAACATAGGTAAGTTTCTGAACATGTTTAGCAGCCTTTATACTACTCACATCTGGTAGCAGAAGAATTGGCGATAAATTTATTTCTTCCATGTCAAGTTCTCCCACACTAGGGATACGACGGCGAATAGGGGTAGGATCTGGAAGCAACAGAAACAATAAGGTACAAAAAGGTAAGGTACAATAAGGTGCAAAGTTTTACAAGCATATGGTAGCATGAAAGGGACTCTGTAAGGAAAGTAACATAGGAGCTATTGAAGATGCAAGATCTGGTACTGCTAATCACATCTTGGTTTCATTACTTTAAAAAATCAATGGTCTTGAAGAAATATGTAGAGTTCCAACTTAATTTCACTAGTCAGTGATTTAATAAGTAGCAAAGCACTGAAAGAATAACAGCTTCAGAGCTTTCAACTTTAAACAGAAGTTTGCCATGGCAGCTCTTTAATTAAAAGGCAGGTTCTTTTTAAACCCGAAGGACATCACCTGCCCTCCTGTGTTGTTAGAATTGGGTCTGCTATACCTGTGTAAAGGAATATACATAGCTCAACACAGTAATTATGCTTTTAAGGGTCCTTATGACCAGAGTTAGGTTTACCATTAGACATAGTATGAAGGTGTCAGTTGTAAAGAAGTGGCTAGAACTCTCTAATTAGCAAAACTCATCTAACCTATGAATGCAGAGCTGTAGACCTAGGCTCTGCAGGGGGCTTGTTGAATCACTGCATCCACACAGAGAGCAAGGGTCCTTCTCTACACTATGCTGACAGGGGACATCCTTTTCTCCTAAGGCTCTAGCTGCTTTCTAAATAAAATAGATTGTAAGACTTTGCACATATTTTCTTTGATTTTATGGGATTCTCTCAGGACATTAAGGTAAGGTCCATTCAAAATTGTATTTTACTTTCAGTGGATATTGGTAAACTGAATCATACCCTGTTTTTTACATACATCTAGTGAACTCCAATGACAAGATCATTGTCACCCCACCACAGCTTTTATGATGCCAAGCAAGGGTATCTTTCTCTGCTATCTACATATGGTAAAAGAAAAGAAGAATCCCATGTCTAAAATAAGACCCCTAGCATTGTCTATGGAACGTATGTGTAGCAGGAAACTTGGCCACAGACACATCATTCCATCAGCGTGATTCAAGCAGCCTGTCTAAAGCCCAGCCTGCTACACCAAGGACACACAATGCCAAATACAATGTTCCAGACATTACACATTACTGGATGATGCTTTGTAAGTTTTGGATACACTAAGAGAGACGTAACTGGTTTAGTCTGAAAAGATAGGACAAATGATTAACCAACATAATTACACACCAGGTGTACTGTTTTCCTCCCCATCTTGGGAAGTGCTCCCATTCTACAAAAGAAAGAAGATTCCAGTATTAACATGTTTGCCACCTAGAAACCTGCTGTAAATGTAACAAAATATTTATAGTTTTTACAACGTTCATGAAGTTAGCAATTATCAGAACGTGTGAGAGAACTAGAGAAGTTCATGAATGAATAAGTGATCACTGGGCAGGCTGATAGTAATACCTTCATCAGTTACTATGCTAGGGGAGAATATGGTTACTATAATCTTTTTTAGTCTAAATCAATTTGACACAGGCATATAATATTAAAGTATTTATAAAGGATAAACATTCTTTTATCCTGTTTTTCTCAATACTTTTTTTGGGGGGAGCACACAGGCAATGCAATCCTCACAGAAGAGCTAAACTCTCCTTGTGGTGCAAGAAAAAATGTGTTTCTATTGCTGACCCCTCATTAGAAGGATTTTCCTTATTTTCTATCTGGCACCCACCAAACAGACCAGAAGTTGGCAGATTTTCCCTCAAATTCTATTTGGACACCTGTTAAATATACATGAAATAAGGGGAAATGGGACACGATATGCAATAAAAATTGGCAAAGGTTCTTCCACATTTTATTCAATAAAAAAAAAAACAGTTTTGGAGCTTTAACCTCTTGCTTCCATAGACGTTTTTGCCTTTTTATGCACATATGTTGAAACGCATACTTTAGGCCTAAGAACTACTTAACATTCCCCCCAGAATTAATATATTTTCTGAAAGCAGGGACATTGTACAAAAAATGGTGGCAATTGCAATTTTTTATGTAGCATGATATTAGCGCAGCTGTTTATGAAATCCAGATTTTGAGTAAAAAATACACTTAATGTCATTTTAGTGCTCAGAAACACAATATATAACCTAATGTTTTGGTAAAATATAAAAGAGGAGGTTGTGCCAAGTAAATAGATGCCCAACATGCCAAGCTTCAAAGCTGCGTGCGTCTGTGAAATGGGGAAAAACTATGGTACCCCAAATTGTCCGTAGGTGTCACTTTAAAAACTTTTACAGGTCATCAATTTAGAGATAACCATGAATAATGGCCCTAGAATTATTGCTCTCACTCCTGTGTGCGAGGCAATACCTAAAATGTGTGGCACAATCGTACGTAGGTGCACCCAATGTGTGTTTGTGTTGGTATGTAATTGTGTACACAGGGCAAGGGACTTGATTTTTTAAAATTTATTTTTATTTAACTTTATTGCGTTCTTTTTTTTAATTATCTTTGTTGCTATCACATAGGGAACTCACAAACCTCCTATGTAATAGCACTTTAGTGGTGACAGGTTCTCTTTAAGATGATATTAGGCATCTATTAGACCTGTAATATATCCTTTGCAGCCTATTGAAGGCAGGGGAGGTGTCAGGCGGGGGGCACATGTACACCACCCGTGGAAGTGATCAGGTGGCTTTACAGCCACCCAAATCACTTTCAGCATAAAGACGACAATTGGTTTTACATGTGTAAACAGACTCCGGGTGGCTATAGCCGCAAGGAGTCTCCTGACATACGTCAGCCGCTGGGAAAGGGTTAAACATTTGAGGATTTTTAACTTCACCAAATTTTCTAGGACACATCTCTTATGTCCTGCTCCTCCCCCTGCCACTATTATGAGCAATTACCATCTGTCAAAATGACAGTCGAAAATGGCTTTGCAGTACACAGCAGAGGCAACTGTCAAAATACAGCTGTTCCTGTGCAAAATTACACTTACAGATAGTCTGCAAGTGCAACTGAGTGAATGCAATGCATTGTTTAAATGTATTTACTTTATCATGCATATGTAGATCAAAGGGGTGACCTTCATTCTGCGTATAATCTGCATATATGGAAAAAAAATTATTCTTATTTGAACCTTTATTACCCCTTGGTTAAGCCTTCATTAATTCCTTAGCTATTATTTAGATTGTCGGTACTAGTTGCCTAATCTGCTTTTACAAGAAATGCTGGATTAGTGGTGGATGGTCAGTAATGGATCAAAGGGAAATATCAGTTGTACTGTACCACCACCCACAGAGGTGCACACACACACATACCCCTGCATCATCTTGTGGTGACAGCTCAGTAGACAGCCTGTAAAAATAAACAAACAGGTAACATTTGCAAAGGATGAAATGTATGCCAAAAACTAAAGTCATAAGGGACTAGAGGACAGCTATGGAGGCCTATTACAGACTGGCAACAAAATGATTTAATATTTTATTCAGGCACAGGTAAATAAGTTACAGTAAAATAACCCTCTAACACTATATCTTAGAACAGGGGGTCAAAATTTCAAGTCCTGAGCTACTAGCCAGGCCCTAAGAGTTACTCGCCACCAGTTGCCAACTAACCTCTACCTTCCCGCGGCCTTAACTCCGCCCCTAAACACACCCTCTTAAATAGTCTTATAAATGAGACTGTTACATGTTTTATGCAGAATAAAGTTACAAGAATAAATATTAACAACTTTTTCGTTGGCGAGTTGACGCCCCCCCCCCCCCCCTACGCCATAACATGTGACGCCAACAAACTTCCGGAACTGCACCACCAGGGCTGGCCCCCTTTCCCAGTCTCAGGTGGTGAAATTTCACCTGATTACCAGATCAGACACAACCTCCTATTGTGGTGCAAACATAGGTAAGTTTCTGAACATGTTTAGCAGCCTTTATACTACTCACATCTGGTAGCAGAAGAATTGGCGATAAATTTATTTCTTCCATGTCAAGTTCTCCCACACTAGGGATACGACGGCGAATAGGGGTAGGATCTGGAAGCAACAGAAACAATAAGGTACAAAAAGGTAAGGTACAATAAGGTGCAAAGTTTTACAAGCATATGGTAGCATGAAAGGGACTCTGTAAGGAAAGTAACATAGGAGCTATTGAAGATGCAAGATCTGGTACTGCTAATCACATCTTGGTTTCATTACTTTAAAAAATCAATGGTCTTGAAGAAATATGTAGAGTTCCAACTTAATTTCACTAGTCAGTGATTTAATAAGTAGCAAAGCACTGAAAGAATAACAGCTTCAGAGCTTTCAACTTTAAACAGAAGTTTGCCATGGCAGCTCTTTAATTAAAAGGCAGGTTCTTTTTAAACCCGAAGGACATCACCTGCCCTCCTGTGTTGTTAGAATTGGGTCTGCTATACCTGTGTAAAGGAATATACATAGCTCAACACAGTAATTATGCTTTTAAGGGTCCTTATGACCAGAGTTAGGTTTACCATTAGACATAGTATGAAGGTGTCAGTTGTAAAGAAGTGGCTAGAACTCTCTAATTAGCAAAACTCATCTAACCTATGAATGCAGAGCTGTAGACCTAGGCTCTGCAGGGGGCTTGTTGAATCACTGCATCCACACAGAGAGCAAGGGTCCTTCTCTACACTATGCTGACAGGGGACATCCTTTTCTCCTAAGGCTCTAGCTGCTTTCTAAATAAAATAGATTGTAAGACTTTGCACATATTTTCTTTGATTTTATGGGATTCTCTCAGGACATTAAGGTAAGGTCCATTCAAAATTGTATTTTACTTTCAGTGGATATTGGTAAACTGAATCATACCCTGTTTTTTACATACATCTAGTGAACTCCAATGACAAGATCATTGTCACCCCACCACAGCTTTTATGATGCCAAGCAAGGGTATCTTTCTCTGCTATCTACATATGGTAAAAGAAAAGAAGAATCCCATGTCTAAAATAAGACCCCTAGCATTGTCTATGGAACGTATGTGTAGCAGGAAACTTGGCCACAGACACATCATTCCATCAGCGTGATTCAAGCAGCCTGTCTAAAGCCCAGCCTGCTACACCAAGGACACACAATGCCAAATACAATGTTCCAGACATTACACATTACTGGATGATGCTTTGTAAGTTTTGGATACACTAAGAGAGACGTAACTGGTTTAGTCTGAAAAGATAGGACAAATGATTAACCAACATAATTACACACCAGGTGTACTGTTTTCCTCCCCATCTTGGGAAGTGCTCCCATTCTACAAAAGAAAGAAGATTCCAGTATTAACATGTTTGCCACCTAGAAACCTGCTGTAAATGTAACAAAATATTTATAGTTTTTACAACGTTCATGAAGTTAGCAATTATCAGAACGTGTGAGAGAACTAGAGAAGTTCATGAATGAATAAGTGATCACTGGGCAGGCTGATAGTAATACCTTCATCAGTTACTATGCTAGGGGAGAATATGGTTACTATAATCTTTTTTAGTCTAAATCAATTTGACACAGGCATATAATATTAAAGTATTTATAAAGGATAAACATTCTTTTATCCTGTTTTTCTCAATACTTTTTTTGGGGGGAGCACACAGGCAATGCAATCCTCACAGAAGAGCTAAACTCTCCTTGTGGTGCAAGAAAAAATGTGTTTCTATTGCTGACCCCTCATTAGAAGGATTTTCCTTATTTTCTATCTGGCACCCACCAAACAGACCAGAAGTTGGCAGATTTTCCCTCAAATTCTATTTGGACACCTGTTAAATATACATGAAATAAGGGGAAATGGGACACGATATGCAATAAAAATTGGCAAAGGTTCTTCCACATTTTATTCAATAAAAAAAAAAACAGTTTTGGAGCTTTAACCTCTTGCTTCCATAGACGTTTTTGCCTTTTTATGCACATATGTTGAAACGCATACTTTAGGCCTAAGAACTACTTAACATTCCCCCCAGAATTAATATATTTTCTGAAAGCAGGGACATTGTACAAAAAATGGTGGCAATTGCAATTTTTTATGTAGCATGATATTAGCGCAGCTGTTTATGAAATCCAGATTTTGAGTAAAAAATACACTTAATGTCATTTTAGTGCTCAGAAACACAATATATAACCTAATGTTTTGGTAAAATATAAAAGAGGAGGTTGTGCCAAGTAAATAGATGCCCAACATGCCAAGCTTCAAAGCTGCGTGCGTCTGTGAAATGGGGAAAAACTATGGTACCCCAAATTGTCCGTAGGTGTCACTTTAAAAACTTTTACAGGTCATCAATTTAGAGATAACCATGAATAATGGCCCTAGAATTATTGCTCTCACTCCTGTGTGCGAGGCAATACCTAAAATGTGTGGCACAATCGTACGTAGGTGCACCCAATGTGTGTTTGTGTTGGTATGTAATTGTGTACACAGGGCAAGGGACTTGATTTTTTAAAATTTATTTTTATTTAACTTTATTGCGTTCTTTTTTTTAATTATCTTTGTTGCTATCACATAGGGAACTCACAAACCTCCTATGTAATAGCACTTTAGTGGTGACAGGTTCTCTTTAAGATGATATTAGGCATCTATTAGACCTGTAATATATCCTTTGCAGCCTATTGAAGGCAGGGGAGGTGTCAGGCGGGGGGCACATGTACACCACCCGTGGAAGTGATCAGGTGGCTTTACAGCCACCCAAATCACTTTCAGCATAAAGACGACAATTGGTTTTACATGTGTAAACAGACTCCGGGTGGCTATAGCCGCAAGGAGTCTCCTGACATACGTCAGCCGCTGGGAAAGGGTTAAACATTTGAGGATTTTTAACTTCACCAAATTTTCTAGGACACATCTCTTATGTCCTGCTCCTCCCCCTGCCACTATTATGAGCAATTACCATCTGTCAAAATGACAGTCGAAAATGGCTTTGCAGTACACAGCAGAGGCAACTGTCAAAATACAGCTGTTCCTGTGCAAAATTACACTTACAGATAGTCTGCAAGTGCAACTGAGTGAATGCAATGCATTGTTTAAATGTATTTACTTTATCATGCATATGTAGATCAAAGGGGTGACCTTCATTCTGCGTATAATCTGCATATATGGAAAAAAAATTATTCTTATTTGAACCTTTATTACCCCTTGGTTAAGCCTTCATTAATTCCTTAGCTATTATTTAGATTGTCGGTACTAGTTGCCTAATCTGCTTTTACAAGAAATGCTGGATTAGTGGTGGATGGTCAGTAATGGATCAAAGGGAAATATCAGTTGTACTGTACCACCACCCACAGAGGTGCACACACACACATACCCCTGCATCATCTTGTGGTGACAGCTCAGTAGACAGCCTGTAAAAATAAACAAACAGGTAACATTTGCAAAGGATGAAATGTATGCCAAAAACTAAAGTCATAAGGGACTAGAGGACAGCTATGGAGGCCTATTACAGACTGGCAACAAAATGATTTAATATTTTATTCAGGCACAGGTAAATAAGTTACAGTAAAATAACCCTCTAACACTATATCTTAGAACAGGGGGTCAAAATTTCAAGTCCTGAGCTACTAGCCAGGCCCTAAGAGTTACTCGCCACCAGTTGCCAACTAACCTCTACCTTCCCGCGGCCTTAACTCCGCCCCTAAACACACCCTCTTAAATAGTCTTATAAATGAGACTGTTACATGTTTTATGCAGAATAAAGTTACAAGAATAAATATTAACAACTTTAACAATATTACCATAAAGCTCCCTGCCCCACATTTAGAATAATATGACGTTGACGGACGTGTCCCGGCAACGTCAGCTGGACTGCTGCTGGCCGGAGGGGCATTGTGAGCCTCTTCCTGAGCACAGAGTACTTCGTGTACCGCTGCCTGATGCTATCACCCCCGGCCTCCTCCACCGACACTAGGCACGGCCTGCTAAGACACCTGGTGATATCCTCTTATGGGACACAGGGAGTCTGGATCCTTTTGTAGGTGGCAGCATATCCCAAAGGTTTAAAGCTTCCTATGTCTCTCAGTGGTCTTCAAGAAAAGGATATTACACGTTTTCATTTTCTTGAAGCTGAACAGTGGACCAACTGATTAATTTTACTGTTTATTTACAACAACAGTGTGGTGAGTGCGCACCCCTTGGGGGGCAGACGTGGACACTAACACATGGTGTGGGAAGAGTGTTTTGAAAGCACCGTTTGGATTTTTTTCATTTTTTTCACTTTGGACTCAATTCACTAATATTGTATATTACTTTATGCCAGATGGAAAACCATCTGTGATTGTTTGGATTTGTTGCTACTACATTAAGTACACTATTATCTTTCTATATTCTTTTTTAGCTGCACATCAGCATTACTATAGTTTGTTGCACCTTTGAAATAATTGTTACAATTGCTAGGAATATAGCGATTGACGTGGTGACACTCAGGTCACATAAATTTTGTTGCACATAAATTTTGATGCACAGGCATTGTGCCTTCTTATTATTTTATCTAAGTTGTCACTGAGACAGTAACACACTTGATGATTTTAGGTCAACTATTTACTATTATTATTACTATTGCACAATATTAATATATTAAACCTGCCACTGACTCTTAGCACCGCACACTCATTACTGTAACCAATCTTGACCTCAGGGTCCACAGTATGGCAGTCGCCGGCCAGCTAAATTAGGACCCCACCTGCAGCTCCTGGAGCTGCTCCAGTTTTTGATGTATCACATTATTGTTAGGCTTCAAGTAACAGGGTGAAATTCAGAATTTATTCATAACAAAGAAAGAGGCAATTTTGTACTACAAAAATATGTTATTTGGTAATGTTGACATGTGCGGTATAGATTCATGTAAAATATGATTTTAATGATCACTATACTTTAATTTTTAAGCTTTAAATTATTCTGCCATAGTACCTGGATGAATACAATTTAGGTTTTGAAGAATACATAATTATAAGGGAATTTTATTCGAATTATGGGATATTAATGAAAGTAAAATAGATATATTTTAAACCCTTGGTTCTCAACTGGTGAGTCGTGACCCAAAAGTGGGTTGCGACCCCTTGTTCAGTGGGTCCCTGCGTTCCTTCCACTTTTCTAGGTGAGAGGTTCTTCAGCCTCCCCCTAGTCAGTTCTTGCGCCGAGCAGCCATTCAAAATATGCTGCCTGGTGCCGAGTGTCAGCTTGAGTTGGGGTGGGGTGGGCTAGGGCTATGGTCGTGAGGGAGCTCCATCCATAAGTACATTGCTTACAGCTCCCTCATGTGTCCTGTAGAGGTGCCTGGACTGGAGTGATGTAACCTTCTGGCTCCTGGCACCTCTACAGGGTGCGCAAGGGAGCTGTACAAGTGGATGCACATATGGGTGGAGCTCCATCACAGCAGCCCACACTGGACCCCAGGCTGAGGATCCACGCCAGTTCTTGTAAGATGGGGACACTGGATGGATTTAAATTTTTTTGGGGAGTGTGTATGTTTGTGTGAGAATGTCTGTGAGTGCGTGAGATTGTGTCTGTGGTTGTGTGTGTCTGTCAGTGTTTTTGAGGGCCCACTAATACTAGTACAGTGCGGTTAACGCACTGTACCATGCAATCGCACCTACCACGTGTTCTGGTATGAGAGGTGCATTGTGTTGCCATTCATTTGAATGGCACCCCAAAGGCATCTACCACCCACATTTCTACTGTCCACATTGAACGTGAAGTATCGCAATGCCGTGAGTTCCATTGCAGTGCAACTTGGGTCACGACTTAATGACCAAGGACAAATGTGGGTCCTGAGGTTACACAGGTTGAGAACCACTATTTTACTATATTCAACAGTAACCAAATATACTTTTTTTCTACAATGAGAACTATATGGCTAATGTCAGTTAAGTGAAAACAATAGTGAACTGTAAATATAGAGGATTAGAGGAAATCAGAATGTCTATGACATTATCAATTTACTCTGCACTTACCTTCATTTGCTGCTGTTTGGAGGTTGCATTGTGTGTTTATGTCTTACCTGATCTCAGGCTTCTGTATTTCATCCTCTTCAGGTGTTTCACTATCATAATCTCCATTCACTTCTGCATCGTCAAAACCCCAGTTGTGGTTCCATTCAGCTGTAAAAAACAGTTGTCTCTATTAAAGTGACACTAAACTCAGGGGTTAAATCGTAAAAATGCATTCAAGAATCTAAATGTTTATGAAAAATGTATCTTATTTGAGTATCACTCAGCTGTAACTCCTCAAATCATCTCTGATGACATGCTGACACTGTCCTTCCTTCTGGAGGGTGGCTACTTTTGTTACCCATGGTCACCATGTGTGTTCTAAAGTAGCCACTGCTCCAAGCTCGTTGCCATGATAGACTACAATCTCAGGTTTAGTTTCCTAAAGTTTATTGAGACTGTAGTCTATCATGTGAGCAAGCTTGGGGTGGTGACTACTTTACAACACACACAGAGACCATGGGGAAGAAAAGTAGCCACCCTCCAGAAAGAAGGACAGTGGCAGCTCCAATTCAGAGATGATTTGATGATCTAAAGCCGAGTGATACACAAATAAAATACATTTTTGTTAATTGTTAGTGTACTTGAATGCATTTTTAAGATTGAACTCCTTTTTTAGTGGTCACTTTACTAAATAACTCTGTGGTGGAAATTATAACCTACCTCTGGTCTTTTTCTTTCTCCTGATTGAAGCTCTCACAATATCAACACCACCAACTTGACCCCAAGGACGGGATGCCCTTACATCACTGAACCAATCTCCTGAAAGACGTTTCAGTGTATGAGGGTCTGATACACATGATCGAAGCTTGCTGTGAATCAGAGATTAAAACTTCAGTTAATTTTGATCATATTTATTAGCAATGTGTAGAGGACAGAGAAGAATCATTTAAAAAAAAAAAAGTTTTGACCTATTTAACATACAGCATGTGGATTACTTAAAGTGACACTAAACTCAGGAGTCAAATGCATTCAAGTACCCTAACAATGAACAAAAATGTATCCTATTTGTGTATCAGTCAGCTGTAGCTCCTCAAATCATCTGAATTCATGCTGACACTGTTCTTCCTTCTGGTGGATGGTTACTTTGTTCCCCGTGGTCCCTGTATGTGTGTTGTAAAGTAGTAGCCGCTCCAAGATCGCTCCTGTGATGGACTACAATCTCATGTTTAGTTTACTCATTTGTATTGAGATTTTGGTCTATCACAGGAGTGAGCTTGGAGCGGTGACTACTTTACAACACACACAGGGACCATGGAGAACAAAAGTAGCTACCCTCCAGAAGGGAGGACAGGGTCAGCACTAATTTAGAGATTTGAGGATCTACAGCTGAGTGATACACAAATAGGATACATTTGTATTTATTGTTTAGGTACTTAAATGCATTTTTATGATTTAACTCCTTAGATTAGTGTCACTTTAATATTTGTTTAACCAAAATCTAGAATGAACTCCAAGTAACAAATTGTAAATAAACTCAAATAACACATTCTATTACTTAAATAACATATAATCAATAAACTTAGAAAGAAGCAGTAGATGTGCTAAGGCAGGGGAAGCTGCTTACTATTAAAGCCCAATTCAAGTCACAGAAAGTGATATGCAGTCAGAGAGACTCTAAAGGGTTGTGTGAGGAAGGTCCAGTGTGTACCATTACAGGAAGACCATTGCAGATTATTAAGCTGCTGATATCAGAGTCTTTTACCACTTCAGGTGGTCCTGCATGTTTATACCAAGACCAAGACCACAGCTGTAGCTGCCATGTAGAGCCACCCAATCCCTGAATGCTGCTAAAAAGTGTGTCCCCTATGTGGGCCTGGTAATGACACAGTGGGTGTCTGTGGCTTGCTCAGAAGGAGATCAGCACACATCCAGTGGCTGAACACCCCACTTCTTCCCAACCTTGGAAACAATTAGTATTTTGTCACTTCCAGTTTCAGACTGTTATTTCTCTGACTGTTGTGATCGGAGAAGCTAGTGAAATTGAACTAAATTAAAATGAATGTATCCATAAAATATGTTTTTTTTATCTCGGGTGATATTAACTCCCAGGTACCTCACACTTTCCTATTTCTTGGTAAAAGTAAAGTTGAAAGCAATTGTAGCATATCTCTGAGAGGAAATGTTGATGTTAGGAATTTCTGATTTGGAAAGAGTTATTTTTTATTTGGAAAGATTGGCATAGGTGTCCATGTTTTGTATTAGGTTAGGAATAGACATTTTCTACTACCTGTTAAAAATTATAACAGACTTGAAAGGCCTTGTGTTTTTCAGTTTTTAGGAGGTTTAGGGTCATAGTATTTATGAATGGAATCTGTGTCAATTCATAAATGACTGGTGTAGGTGGATAGAATGTAATTTTCACGAAATGATAGTGGTATTTTTTTTAGATCTAGGTAAATCTCAGTTTTGCTGTAGTACAAATTGTGCATTTTTAATGTTGCTCTTTAAGCATCAATAAAAAAAGCTGCTCTCTGCCGAATGGCATTTTTAAACTTTTTTTTTGCAATGAAGGAGAGTGCCAAGCTCCCATGCCCTTTTTTTTTTTTGTAAAATCAGAATTTATTAGTTTAACAAAGAAAAAACAAACATACACAGATAACTGTAAAAATATTTCAAAGCATATGATATCAAAGCATAAAACACATTCGTTAAAGGTCAATGTCCACTGCCCTGAGATAATTATGGAAGAGTCAAATCAAATTATGAAGAGGAAAATCAAACTTAAATACCAAACTCCCAATACGATTAAGGAAGGTTAACCAAGAACAGCAAGCCACTGTAGGAAACCAATAGAGAGCAATGGATAACTTTTAAGACAGGATAAAGGCTTTCTCCCAATCATCTGGCTCCAAAATAGTTTCTATCTCTCTTTACCATAGTGCCATATATTTGGGAAGATCAGGATGCGTAAGCTGCAGGAGGATACCATAGATTTGTGAGATTACATGAATTAGAGTGGAATCCTGTAGCAAAAGCCAGTCAAATAGAGAGGGAGGGGAAATCAAGACTGACTTATAAGGAAAAGATCTCAGGAAAGCATACCAGCCAGAAGGCCAACAGACCAGTTGGCGCAGTATTCTGAATGTCTAACTGTAGGGCTTGAGTAAGACGCTGATGGGAAGACCTATTCCATAAGGAGACCGTAGAGCAAGGCTTCATGGGAGGGAACGGTAGGTTATCAAAGAACGGAGTCATGGGACCTTGCAGTTACAACAGATGAAGAACAGAAACTACCTGGTACTAAACTAAAAGTAAATGTTTAGTAAGTGGTGGAAGAAAAAGGTGGTCTTTTCTGTAGGCTGGATTCCCCCATGGCAACGCCTTGAGGTCAATGAAGTTTAGCAAATGCTTAATTGACACCCATTGCTTAGAAGAATGGTGATGAAACCAGTCCATGAGTCTGGTAAGGACAGAAGCTTGGGAGTACATATATATCTGTAATATCTGGCTCACTCGCCTTCTCCTCTACTTTCAGACAATGATAGTAACGTACAGCTCAGCCTAGGATGCCCCGATTAATTTGGCAAATATGTGTTGCAACTTGTTTAAGAACAAAGAGGGAATAGCCATAGGAACAACTTGGAACAGATATAAAAACCTGGGGGTGATGTCTATTTTGAGTTCATTGATCCTGCCCAGCCAGGAGAACCCACCGCCATCATAATTATCAAGGTCAGCAATGGTTTTCAGAAGTAGACTTGGTAGTTAAAGGAAAACAAACGTGACAAGTCAGAGGGGTCATGAATTCCCTAACTATTTTAAGAACTAGGGACAGAACTTGAATGAAAAATGAGATTAAGCTGTTGTTGCTGTCGCACGGTAAGGTACACATTTAAAATTTCAGACTTCAAATAATTAACCTTGCAATTACTCAATACACCGAAGCGACGTAACTTGCTTATGATGGAAGGCAGACAGGTATGTGGCTGGCATACATACATCAACAGGTCATCAGCAAATAGAGATTACGTTGCATGGGTGGAACTAACTCGTAAACCAGTAATGTAAGGGTTCCATTTTAGTGCTATAGCAAAATGTTCCATGGTCAACATATACAACATCCATTTGAAATGCTAAACCAAGGTGAGAGGGACCCATTGACCTGAAACCTAACAGAAGGGTACGAGTCTAAAGCCAGAATGTGTTTGCTCTTTTTTGATGGAAGGATCCCCATGCCACCCATTTTTTGCAGCAAAAAAAAAAACCTTAGGAAAATATTGTTTACTAGCAATAGATATATATATATATATCGTTAATGTTACTTTTGCTTGTGTTACTTGGTGGTGCATGCCCCCCTCCTCCTGGCAGTGCCCCTTGCCCTTTGTTTGACAATCTCTTGCCTGTTAGCCTTGAAAATGGCCAGAATTGTTTTTAAGGATTCAACTGCATTTGACTTCAATTGGGTGTTTGAACTAACATTCAGAACTTAGGAGCAGTTCAGCAAACCTCCCTTGATCCGAACTGTGTTACATTCCGCTCATCCCTAAACAATATCCTAAGATTTAGTCTGTCTGCAGGCAGTCAGTAGTGCACTGTACGTTCAGTGTGGTGATAGTGTTACCAGCGCTGCTTTAGAATATTTATACTGATATCCTTTCATATAATAGGTAGATTAATGCTTGTGCTTCAGCCTTTTATGTAAATTAGAAAAAGAAAATAAAGTAGTCTAAATACAGCTCTCTGATGGTGTTTTTCTTAGTAATATTGGCAGCGTTCCAAAGTCTGCCCACAGAGTAATCTTTTAAGAGAAGGAACCATTATTTTGGAAATATAATTAATTGTTTCTTAGTTATCTGAATACTATGTGAGAATGTAAACTTGTTCAAGAGAAACCCCAGCCAAAAAATTAAATATATGGTTGAAATGCATACACATAGATAGATAGATATTTAGTTTAAATAAAGGAATACATCTTGATTGGCTCACACTGCCTAACATCCCATTCTATATCCAATTTGTGCTGCTCATGAGGCAGTTATGTACCTTTAGATCACCTTTATTGTGCAACATTCACACTTTGGTGGCAACATAAAACAATACTATTGAGCATATACAACTTTTATATGATTTGATTATTATTTTCATTAATGTGAACCTGAACCCAAAAAGGGAAGATTTGAGATGTTATAGGGAACTTCAAATAATGTTAAATTGTGCCTAAAGTATTTCCTGAAAACGTGACTCCTGTTCTATACAATGTACTTTTTGCTGGAGGCTGATGCAGCCTTGAAGGTCATTGGACATGTAAAAGTAGCTTGAAGCAGGTTGATGCAGCCTAGAAGGCCAATGGAAGTGTAAAAGCAGCTTGAAGCAGGGTAATGCAGCCTAGAAGGTCAATAGAAATGTAAAAGCAACTTGAAGCAGGTTAATAAAGCCTAGAAGTAGATCTAATGCAGGTTAGAAGGAGGTCAACAGCAGGTTAACTGCACCTGTCAATGAAATGTGAATGATCCCTGAAATTAACACATGCCCAAAGCCCATCAACAAAGGCCCTTAATCTGCCCCCATTAAACTATATACTTTTTTTTTACATAAAGGACTATCAAACAAACTTTAAGCAACAATATGTTTGTATATATGTTTAGCTATAAACTTTTCAATTATATAAAGAAATAAATATATAGGCTACTGACCGTACACGTTGATCGTCCTTTTCCCTAAGTTCTGTGTCTCGCTCAAGAACCTGTGTTATCACTTTTTGCTCCTCCCCCGTCAAGAAACTGAGATCCAGAAGGTCCCCATTTTCTCCCACTTCCATCCTTTGAGCACATTGGTCCACAGCCTGTATGGAGCACAGGTCAGTCACAGCAGCCAAGGACAATAGGTAGAAGATATTCAGTTACCTGTTAGACAGAGTAACACACACAATACAATAATTAATATACGACAGCTGAAGTAAAAAAACAGTAATCCAAGCATCATATTTATTGATTGTTATTTGTCAATCAATGATCCATTAATTATCTGATCTTAAATCGATACACTGATCGTAAATCATAGTATATATTTGCTAACTAGTTTACTCTAAAGGCACACAAAACTACATAAAAATGTCTATGGGCTGTATGCATATCTGAACAAATAACATGCTGGAGCACTTATCTATAAAATACATACAGAGAATTTGGGTGAATTCAGCCAATATGCAAAATGTATCCTCAAGAATAAAATATACAAAATATATCCTCAAGAATAAAGATTAATTTATACCGCAAAAGCCATTGGTACATCACACAGCTTGCATACAAACAACAGAAACGTACAAAGAAACATAGCACACAAACATTTAAAAAGTTAAATAAAAGAGGTATACACTCTGTGCAGTGGAGAATAGTGGTTGCTCTTGGTGGTATAAGTACAGGATGTATGTATAAGACGGAGACCACAAGTGCAATGAGGAAGTGATAAATGACAGTTGTCTAGCAGAATGTTTAAAATGCTACTTTACACTGTTTGGACCTTATGCAGTGCATACAAAATGTTACAACTTAAATATTTAAATGCAAGTTTTTCACAAATCTTTTAAAACATTGTCTGACAATTGTGGGGAAAAAATTAAAGGACAAAACAATTGAATAAATAAAGAATATGTCTCACACAAAAGTAGAAAGCTACAGTACATAAACCAGAGTATGTTCACAAAGATTCTGTTGGGGGAGATCTGCTGCATGTATGAGGTGTCTGCACAAACATACCACAGTCTCCAAAATCATCCTGTCATGGCCAAATCCTGCACCATTCTGAAAGGGAAAGTGCCGACAATTTTGGGCAGCTGTCAGATGTGCCGGTGGCTTGGCAGCGTGGAGTGGAACCCACTGGCAGGAAGTGGCCTGAAGCTTCCGAAGGTAGAAGTACAAAGGGTCGATCCAAAGGAGAAGCGGGCATGAAGGCTTCAGGGGCGAATGTCAGTCCAAGGTCGGCAACAGGGAGTCCAGATGAGGGGTCAGGAAGCAAACAGCAAGATACACAGATGGGGAGCTAGGTGATCACACCATATGGTGGAATAACTCAGCAACAGGCCAGGGCTCTGGCCAGGTTTTTATAGCCAGAGGGATGTAGGACCACCCCCTAGTCACCGAGGCAACCAGGAGGCTTCCCTCCCCGGGAGCCAATGGCATGCGAGAGAGGTGGAAGGTGTGTGCTGGGAACTTCCCCCAGCAAGGCCCACACCTGATAGCCCTAATGGCACAGACGTGCTACGCGCGCACTTCCGGACATGAGCGCGCAGCCTGTGTAATGCGCACGCGCGACTTGCTCATGCGCACCCACAACCCGGGTGCGCATGAGTTTTGCGCTGTGCCCGTTGGCCCCGTGAAGAGGTAACACCCCTTGCTTCCTGACAGCAGCATTGCGGGTTGCTGTCAAGCCCCTTACATGCACACATTGCAATTGGCTTATTACTATGCTGGGAAGCCTCAATGGTCAATAGCAATGTACAATAGGCAGAAGATAAGAAGGAGAGCCTAAATTGCCTCTCCCATTCATTTCTATGGGGCATGTAGTCGCACTTGCATGATATTCAAGCTAATGCTTTGGCTTGAACACCTTTTGAGTTACTGCCTGAAATAAATATAGAATTGGAGTAGTAATTAAGCAAAACAAATATGGCATCCGCACAAATCAATTCTCTCATAGATTAGAGTTAGTACCACACTACATAAAGGAGTCTTGATGAGGCAGTGTGGATTCCACATATTTTGAAAAAGTTGTGCAACTAAAACGTCTGTTTGTCTGTGAGACAGGGTAAGCTTTTTTTGCAGGCTAGCTAATAAGTGTGCTGGAAAATGTTTGTGTTTGTATTGTGGGAAGTCCTTCCATGTGCACCTTTCTTTGAAAGCTAGTTACAAATTGATTTGTGAGGATGCCATATTTGTTTTGCTGGATATCATGCTGGGACACACTGGGGGCTTCAGCTGCTATTGTGATGCGCTAGGCTTCTTCTGTGTTCCTGTACCTTTAAGAAGGAATGGGCAACCTCTAGCCATACCTACACCCAATGTATCCTTTGCTATATACAGAATGCTCTGAGATGGAGGCTCTCATAGATTAGAGTTAGGACCACACTACACAGAGAACCATTGACGAGGCAGTGTGGCTTTCACATATTTTGCAAAAGATGTGCAACTAAAACCTCTGTTTTTACGCAATTTGTGAGACAGTATAATCTTTTCTTTTTTTTTGCGGGTTAGCTGGTAAGTGTATCAAATAAAATTATATAGAAATGTATGTGGCATGCTTATGTGTCTACATAAAAGTAATAACAATGTATAAAACCAGTATATCAGTTGTAAAAAACATATATCATCAACCATAATTGTCCATATGTTGATTCCACCTTCAATATGTTCCAATGTGCAAATATAAATTCAGCTACAATGTATATACACATTTGAGTGATCATCAAAGTTTGTGCTTCACATTCCAACCCCAATGTATACCTCTGTGTGTACACCTTTTAGAGTGTTGCTCACCTTACAAGAAGTGACTTTAGAAGCACTTGGTTAAAAATCATCTCCTAATCGTAGACAGGTTTATTAACTATTACAGTGCCGTGTTTTTTTTATTGATTAACGGCACTTGCATTGATGTGATTTTTTTTTTTGTGTGATTTGTAGTTCACAAACACGATTATATGTTTTTTTGATTCACTTACTAGCGCTGTTAATTTGGTTTAAAACTCTTCAGACCCAGCGGTCTTCAATACAGCAGCTTGTATTTTACATCACAATATTTATTTATTTATATTGATGAGTTGACACGATACACTAAAAATTCATCACATTGACTTTGCAGTAAGTAATGTGTTAAGGAAACACTATTTTAGTTTAATTCACTGCCACCTGTATGATATACAGCTAATTGAACTCCTAGCGCTGCTTATCTTGTTATATCACCTTACAAGAAGACCTCTTAGGCCCCATTCACACTGAGCGGATTGCAAATCGTGCGTTTGTCGCGCGATTGTCATTTTGTGTGATATCACGCGGTTTTCCCGCGCGATATCGCACAAATGATTGCATTGGACCAAGTACAATCACGCGACATCCGCGCCAAAAAAGGGTCCTGTAGCAGCGACGCACGACAGCGATGAGCACAGCTCCATTAACTTATATTGGAGAGCGATATCGCGCGGAGATCCGCGCGATAAATCGCTCAGTGTATATGGGGCCTTAGAGCTGAACCATTTTTAAGACTGGACTAGGTAATACCCACGTTAGCATCCACTCTATGTTAATCTCCCACTTCTCCACCTTGCAGTCTAGATCCACATTAAGCCTCATATCCAGATTGCTTTTTTTTTTTTTTTTTTAATGTATTGCTTTGTATGTAATGTGTATATACAGTGCTCAGCATAAATGAGTACCCCCTAACAGATTTGTCAGAAAACCTTTACTTTCCTTTCAGAATCAACATTTTGTATGGGACACTATACTAAAAAATACTCCCACAAATGTGGGCCATTGATTGAAACCAAGATTTGTTAATTTGCACACACAAAAAAAATAATTTTTGTCCTAACAAATTCATTCAAGACCATGTTACAAAGATTAATACACCCCAATGAAAGTCATAGGAGCAAAGCTAAATTTTAGACAACAAAATCCTAATTAACAAGAATACAACTCCAGGTGAGTATAATGATTCATTACACAGGTGTCTAGCAGACAGGTGATTATAAAAGGGCGTTACTTAGCAAAGAAAACCCCTTCCCATTTCATGCTGTCAGCAATGGCACCACATGGAAGAGAAATGTCACAAGGCCTAAGAAAGAAAATAATTTCTTTACACAAAGGGAAGGCTACAAGAAGATCAGCAAAGCTTTACTTATCAGTCAGAATACTGTAGCAAAAGTGATACAAAAATGTAACAAAGATGGAACTGCAACTATCTCACAGAGACGTCCAGGCCGTCCACGGAAGTTAACACCTCGACAAGAGCGTTTTCTGATGAGAAGGGTTGAAGAAAATCGTCATGCAAGTTCACTGCAGTTAGCTAAAGAAGTAGAAAGCCAAATTGGTGTGATTGTTTCCTGTGACACAATACGGCGTACACTGCAGAGGAATGGCATGCATGGGTGTCGTCCACGAAGGAAGCCTCTCCTGAAGCCCATGCACAAAAAAGTCCACCTACAATTTGCCAGGGCCCATGCTGAAAAAGAAGACTACTGGGACTCTGGAGTGATGAGACCGAGATCAAAGTTTTTGGAACTGATGTCTTCAAAACTGTATGTCCTCGCAAAGGTGAGGAGCACAAAGAAAAATGCATGGTGCCTGCAGTGAAACATGGTGGTGGCAGTGTCCTCCTGTGGGGCTGCATGAGTGCTGCTGGTGTCAGGTAGTTGCATTTCATTGAAGATATCATGAATTCACAGATGTACTGCTCTATATTTAAAGAGAAGATGCTACCATCACTCCATGCCCTCGGTCGTTGTGCACTTTTCCAACATGACAATGATCCAAAACACACATCTAAGGACATTGTTGCTTTTCTGAAGCAGAACAGGGTGAAAGTGATTCAGTGGCCAAAGGATACTGATTAAAATCTTACTGTTCAAAGGGGTGTACTCACTTATGCTGAGCACTGTAGACTGTAGTTGGAGTTATATTTGCACTGTAAATTTGCAAATTGGGATATTCTCAAGGTGGAATCAACGTATGAACATTTATGGTTAATTATATACTGTATGTTTGTGAAAAAGTGGTTTATACATTGTTAGCGCAGCACGTACATTTAAATTTTATTTTTTTTATTTGAAATACACTTTTTCTAATGTTTGCTGCAGAACTTGACATTGGTGCAGGGTTACAATTAATTGTGTAAGTAGCTGGTTAGTGGGCTGGGA